AATCAAACGGCGTGTATGCTGGGAGAGACAGACCGCAGGTCATTTCCTCATATTCCAAAACATGGAGGAGAAATTAGCAGTAGCGAATCAATCACCCGGTGCTTTATGACCAGACCTACCGGCAGTGGCGGCCGGTCCATAGGGGCGCTAGGGGCGCCGCCCCACCTCTTCCCATATTGAAAAAAATAAAAATAAATAATAATTAAAATTAAAATAAAAAAAAAAAAATATGTTTAAAAACATATATATGTTTTTATTTTTATTTTTAATGAACAAGGTAAATATTATATAATTGGTATCAGTAAAATGTATAATCTACAATAAAATCTCGTTTAAAATTGTGTTACGATGTCTAAAGTTACTGATAAATCACATGTTTCCTGCCTGGCCTTGCCCATGCACCTTCTCTCGTCTGGGCGCTAAGAGAGGAGCCTTCAACCAGTGCAGCAGCAGCCACCAGCAGCTGACTGTTGCTATCTGTAACGTGTAAACTATGCCGCGAAAATATAATTTCAGCCAATCAGCGTCGTCAAAGATGACGGTCACCGGGCGCCAATGTCAGCGCCCAGTGCAGTCTGTGAGTAGTTTGGACAGTGACTCGTATCCGGTTGACGCAGTAGTTGATGAGGATGGCTTCGTGTGCAGGTGGAGTCTCCGGACCTCGGTCCGCGCCTAATTCTGTTCAAGAGCTAATCTCCAATCCTTTCGAAAGGAGAAGTTTGGCAGATAAATTGTTGCTTAAAGACCTTGCACCGGACCAACCCGATTTGAATATATCGCAGCAATCTCGTGAAAAAGACAACATTTATACACGAGGCTTCACAAGTAGCTGGTACACAAGAAAGGCTTGGCTAGCTGGATGCAAACAGGTAAATGCTGTCTTTTGTTTCCCATGCTTGGATATCACTTTATATGTAGAGAGGAGGTTTCCCATGGTTGTTAGAAGTTTATTAATAAGTGGGCATTTATCACAGAAGTGATTGTTCTGTCTCCACGTTTGTTGCATTGTCTGTGATGTATTTTCCAACGGTTATAGCTCCTGTTCTGTCCCAGCAACACTACACGGTTTGCAGCTCCACCACATTTTTGGTTTATCTTCGGTGTCGCTTAAAATCTGCTTCCCATCGGACTAAAACCTCCACGTAATCTGAAGACAGATACTTGAAGTTATTTAAACCTTTTGCAAACTTTATGTTCTTTCTTGCTCTAGCCTTGCCAGTTACATTGTACATAACACATATATTATCATTATGCTAACTGGTTGTTCGTGTTAGACGATGTAGCTTTTTCATTTCTGAGTTATTGCTATATGTAAATAAGCCTGTTTGTAAATAATCCTCAGAGAAACAAAGAAAAAACACAATTTATGACATTTTGTGCTGTGGTTATTTTTTTTAAATTGCATTTATTCACAGTTCAGTTTGAAATGCTGTAGTGACTTGTATTGAACCACTTAAATATTTATAATTAATGCTACTGAAAAGATGCTATTAATTTTATATCTCACATGCAGTTCACTGTAAAGCTACTTGGTGAAGGTGTTTTAAGAAAGAAAAAAACAGACCAGTTCTGAGAACACAAATTCCTGGTAAAGTAGTAGATGTTCAGGTTGATAAATAATATTTTCCACACTGAAGATTATGGAGGTATTGATCAGTCTTCTCATATTTTTAAGCCTCGATTTCTCCTTTCCCCCCCCCTCTAACATCACCAGAAGTCATCATTTAAGGGGTCATTTCTCGGACCCCCCGGGTAGGTCACTTACGGTACGTCAAGAGCCCCACCAAAAAAAAAGACCACCGGCCGCCACTGCCTACCGGGATATAAACCGGAGGAGCCAGGCATGGAGGGAGGTGGCAGAGACAGTGGTATGTTTTCGCCTGTTTTGGGGAGTTTATATCCAGTTTACTTCGGGCTTTTTGGCTTCATATGTCGCGGGCGGGAGATTCATGTGATTGGTTGATCGCAAAAAAATCCCCAAGCCTCAGATACGCCCACCTCCAAGATTTTTTTAACGCTGCCGTGGAGACGGCCCGTTAGAAGTACCCGTATGTGCGCTCATAGAGCATGCGCAACTTTAAACACGCCCCCCAAAAGGTTAGTTCACATCAAGCACGTCACACGTGTACACGTAACATTTCATCATTCATGTATTTTTATATTCTAAAACATGTTTTCGATGGACGAGAGTGAAAATGGAACGCACACGCTATTTGCTGTTTGTTTATATCACAGTCTGTTCTTCTTCTCTTTCTTCCGGTTGTTGCCTAGTTTTAATGACGAATACACACTACCACCGCCTGCTGGTAAGGAGAGTTATTGCCACTCACGCATGCGCAGTTCGTATGTGCTCGGCTGAAGTCTTTGCGGTGTGTTCCAGTGCGACACATGGCCAAGACGCAGGAGAACTCGTCGATGGAACTGTCGGTGTCGGTGTCGGTGAGTTCTCTGGTGACTGCCTGGTGTGTCAGGGCCTTAACACTCACCGAAACATTGTACAGCCGGTCCCGCACGCTGGCTCTTACGGAACCGACTAACTCCCCTTTTGTGTAATAGCAGCTCTCAACATGCGTGTAAGGATTTCCACCTCATTTAATACTTTTCACCTCATTCTGGTGTTGGTGACGTGTATTGAGATGTAGTTCATTGAGCGGTTTCACACACAAATAAGTGTTACTTCACAGTTTTACGACAAATTGTGACTTTTTTGACGTGGAAATTATTTTTTAAGATGGACAAACATCATATGTGTAATTCATGGCACAATTCAAACGGGATCGAAAGATAACGTTTCTCTCGCCATTGACTTCAATACATAATTTTTCCGAAATAAGGTCCCATGGAGTTCCACCGGAAAGGGAGGGACTTCGGCTCTCTCTAGGCCAATTTCCAATCACAGTCATAGCGCCCCCTTGTGACCGCAGGAAGTTGCTGTTGCTAGACTTTGGCTTACAGCTCTCAGCAGGTTAATCAGATCACCTTCATATTTGTCCAGCTGAATATCGAGATATTCACCTCGCCAGACGCTGAGGCTTGTGCGGTGTCGTAGAACGCTGTTGCCATGGCTACGCATTGTTCGCTATCAACAGGAAGTACTTATTTTGGGCTAAGCGATGCATGTACATGCACGAAACTTGGCAAACACATTAACAGGGATGATCTTAGTTAACTGATATGGTTGTTGTGTTTTGGTGTGGCAGGTGGCGCTATAGCGCCCCCTAAAATCGTGTGTTTGGTCTGGAAAATCTGATTCCCATGTAGGGAAATGTAATGAGGAAATCAGATCGACAATGCCGCAAAACGACCTTTGACAGAACAAGAAGAAACACCACCAGACGCAAATGGGTTAAGTGGAGGTTTTCAACAAAGAACTGAGAGTGGAGTCTACGCTGCAGGCTCAGGTGATGTTAGGATGGAGGGGGGCAAACCAATGAGGAGAGAGAGAACAAAGGTTTGGAGTCAGTCTAAGTTAACAGTGGAGACGCAGTAGATACTATCAGAATTATTCTAATCCCTGAGAAAAGTTTTGAAAAACTGCAGTGATGTCATTGTCTTGGAATTAGATGACTAATGTCACTCACAAGAAGAAATAGACTCCAAACCAAAATGTGCACATTTGTATTCAGAATGACAGCAATATGGTCCCACTATTAAAAATATTAGAAATAAGATGGCCAAAAAAAAACGAGTTTGGGGGGAAATTATCTTTTGTTTTTATTTTATTATTATTTCTATATCTTACTTTTTTGTACTTTATTTGTATTATTTGTGTTGTTTTTGTTTCTATGTGTACCTGTGTACTCCTGATGTCAACGTGTTGTGTTTGTATAATGTATAATGTTCATATATTTTATATTATTTAATCAATCTAATAAATAAAAAGTAGATGTCTAGTGTCATCACCAGCAGGGGTCGCCAGCACACAGCCCAGGGTCTCCGCTGGGTCTCAGGTAACTGGATGATGCAGGGGAACCACATTTTTCTCAAAACGAAATCATTTATTGACTTACTTTAAACAATAACTTTTTAGTCAATAATATTGTTATTCTATGAACATTTTAAATTCATAAATCCAAATGTATAAAGAAAACCCCACATTGTATGTATTTCACAAAAACATATATTTTTAAAATAAATGATGAGGCACAAGCCACAGTTTAATTTCACCTGTTGAATTGGCTCTTAGTGCTGTCATTAGAAATTATGTACGAAACAGTTACACGTCAGTCACTGTTATTATCACCAAGACAGATACATTCAGAATCAGATACATTTACTTTTAGCCTTCATTTGAGTCCCTTCAGGAAAACTATAATAATGTCCCAGTGTGGGTTGGTTGGAGTAATAAGAAGAACTTCTGGTGTTCACCAGACTGTTTGTATCTTTTTCCTGTTTTTGGGATTCCTAAATTAGAATATTCTGCATGTGTGATCCATGGATATGCAGCCTAGATTCGACAGGCACATAATAATAATAATAATAATAAAGCTTTATTTATATAGCACTTTTCAAAATGACAAGTCCTTTACAAAATGACACATCACAAGTTAAAAACAAACAAGACATTCCCCTCAGATTATTTGTTAAGAACTTTAAAAAGTACATGCAGCAAAATATAAAATGTGATCAGATAGACACAAGGAGGTAAAATGTATGATAATGAAAATAAAATAAAAATAAATAATGGTTTCTCTCTGACAGATAAGACACAAGACAACTGAGTATAGATGTTTGTTTTGCTTTCAAAATAAAAACATGTCTTGCTGAAGTAGTTTCGGAAATAAACAGGTACTTTTTGTAGGTTGTAACACTTGCAAATACTCAGTGGCAAAATTATATTCAAACCAGTAAATAGACAGATGATTCAAGTTTCATTTATTATTATTATTATGTTAAATGAGAGCTTTACTTTGAAAGTGACTACCGGAAGCTGTAAACATTGAGTGTTTTGACTTGACACGCGGGCTCCGTCTCGTGCTTTCAGCGCTTTGCCTTCAGTGAGTCTGTGGTGTGTGTGTGTGTGTGTGTGTATGTGCGTGTGTGTGTGTGTGTCGTCTGCTGCCACCTGCACTGTCCACAACAGGTGAGAACACTGCTTCCTTTCCTTTATAAACGTCTTTGTTTGGAAGAAACGGAAACTACCTCGGTTAAACAAACTGTTATAGTTAAGAAATATAAAATACTGTGTGTGTCGGGGGAGAGAACAGCCTGACAGTGAGACTGACAAGTCAGCGAACGAGGAGAGGTTCGATGTACGGAGGATTTATACTGAGTACCATTAGCAGCGGACACAGGATAATGAACGAGTCCGACCACAGAGGCTGAGCGTCGGGTTTAAGCGCTCTCTGCAGCCGGAAATGCTGCCCGATTCTCCCGCTGATCCACCCGCGGATCCACCGGTTTACGGTACTCCCAACACTTCAGCGCCAAAATGTATGATACCAATAGGTGGGAGATGTACTCAGATATTTTAACTAAGCAAAAGTACCAGAGTGTAGTAATACTTTTTTACAAGTCAAAGTCCTGCATTCAAAATATAACTCAAGTAAAAGTAGAAAAGTGTTAGCATCAAAATATAGCCTAGTTAAAGTAGCAAAAGTACAAGTAGGCTAGTCATTGTGCAGATTGGTCTATTTCAGAATAATATATATGATATGTTTTATAATTATTGATCATTAAAGTGTTCTCAAAGCTGGTAAAGGTGCAGCTAGTTTGAATGACTTTGTATACTGCAGGGTAGCTTGCGAATTTACTCCAGGTGGAACTAAAGTCTGATTTAACACTTGATTATATTTCACATTAGGCATACATTGCACCCCCAGTTGAATGTTATGCCCTCCACACCCTCTATTAAAAAAAAAGAAGGGAGCAAAAAATACAAATAACAAATTGTGTCAGGTGCGCGTGACCTGCTCCGCTGCGCGTGCGTCATTTCGAAAGTGCTTCCACAGCAGTGACACACATCTGTGGATAATCATGTACGAAAATGGTTAAAACAACCATCACTAAACGCCAGCACCATTGCATCTACTGCAGACAATAGCAACAGGTCAGATGGGGATGTTAAGGCCGCAACACACCCACCTGAGACCAAAGAACGCGTACCGAAGGCGTCCCGACTTTTACGTCAGCTACGTCGCCTGCGTCGGCTACGCCGCCCACCTACCAACACACCGCAAATACTTCAGTCGACGAGTGGCAATAACTGTCCTTACCAGCAGGCAGCGGTAGTGTGAACAGCCAATGAGAGTGATTGCTTGGGCCGACTTTCTCTGACCTCCCGCGGCCGTTGAATCGGCCGCGGGAGGTCGCGGGAGGTGTGAAAAGGTGCCGTAAAGAGACGACGGTGTGGGACACACCAACCTGAGTAGGGCGCCGCGAATGCCGACTGCCTCTGACGGCCTCTGACCATGGATGTATAATAAGAACTGGATACAGCGTGGGAGGCGGGGCCTCATTAATTCCTATGAGAGTTGCTCATTCGCGCATGATGATAAAATGGCCCAACTTTTGAGAGAGCGAAACGTCACAGATTACCCGGCATGCCTGAGAAGTACCCGTATGTGCGCTCATAGCGCATGCGCAACTTTAACCATGCCCCCCAAAATGCTCGTTCACATCAAGCACGTCAATTTGCGTACACGTAACAGCACCGCACGTTCATGACAGCATGGTAATGGTTTGTTATTATGATAGATTTGATATTAACGAGGCGGCAGTTAGCAGCTAGCGGTTAGCTAGTAATTATGCTAATTTACACATCAATCGTTATGTACTTTTATATTACGCTGTAACAGGATCTAGTGATATCCAAGCAACAGAGCTTCATTTAGCATGAAATAATTACTGCACTGTATATATATATATATATATGTGTATATATATACAGTGCAATAAGCTTTTTAGTGCAATAAGAAGCTACAGGGACGTTAATCTACGTCGGTAATATTAACTTTATTTAATACAACATTTACGGTACAAGATTTAATCATACAGCCCATGTAGTATAATATTTTACAAATGATGAATTACAGCAAACATGTGCAATATATCCATTATTACAGCTCCGTGGGCTGGCAGTAAGGCGATATGGGTCCGTTCTTATTGTGCATCCATGGGTAAAGATAAACGCATGTACTAGTGCTGAACATGAACGTGCCGGGCGGCGCGGTCCCGTGGGTTAGATGCGCGTTCATAATGCAGAGGGAAATAACTCTCAGAATAACGTTATTAGCACATTTTTACAACTTGAGGAACGAATGTTTTTAATAAGGGCTATACAAGTGTTCATACTGGGTAGTTTATTTAGTTTAAAAAAAATTATCCAACGATTTACAGACCACTCTTTCCCCATGTAAGTCAATGGGAAAAAGTGTTTCCGGGCCTGGCAACCAAAAGGAAGTGTAGTACCGCCGTTTGGCCAGCACGAATATTTTCATCTGAGTCCGGCGCACTTCCTGGGGGCTTGCCTCTGACTCCCAAAATCGGGTTGGTGTGTAGCCAGCTTTACGTTACCTGCCGTCGTGGACACTAGCTTACTCCCGCCCGACTCGCCGCCCCCGGAGCAGCAGTCTTCGGCCCAATCCCAAACCACGCCCTACACCCTACCCCTACGCACTCCCCCTCCGTGACGGAGTGAAGTCCGTGGAGTGACACATGAGGCTCCCTCCTGTCAGATGGAGGGAGTAAATACAGCGGCAAGCTTTGGGACAAACTCCCCTCTCTCCGGCAGAAACAGGAAATGCCGTAACTGTATGTAACAACGGTTTCAAATCAACTTCTCTTTGACAAAACATTAAAATTAATAACTAAAATAAAACTCCAAACATCTTTAATTGTGTTTCTTTTTTGTAAAGCTCTTTTAGTTTTAAACCTGATGTTTATAAGCTTCTTAGTTTTTGCAACAGTCTGTAAATATACACAACTTTATAATAAAATGCACACAAATTTACCTTTTTTCTAGACTAAACACAGGTATGATCCTAAGTTAAAACATATGAGGTTATCATGAGGTTGTTAACATCGCAGTTTATCAGTGGATGTTTGCTGGAACTACTTGTAAACAGCGTGTTTCCTGACGGACACACACAGCGTTGAGACCGGTCAGGTAGAGACCGGTCTCCAGTCAGCACCGATGCAGACGCGCTGTTTGATGGCTTGATAGCCCACTCCCCCTCCACACCGCTCCACAGTCGTTGGTTTGGAACAGCACTTAATGTGGCGGTTTTGGGATTGGGCCTTAGTCGCCCCAAACAACGCTGGCCCTCTGCGGCCCGCAGGTGCCAAGGAGACCTCGGCAAAACAGAGCCTGCCCAGGTATATCTAAACAAGTACCCAACTCGCCTGTACAGTGGGGTAAGGTGTCATTTTGCAGCTAAATAGACAATGGCTAGAATATTCATGTAAAAATAGTGCCATATTCTGCCATGCCTGTAGAAATGTTGGGTCAAATAATGCATACAATAGCACAGATGCCTTCACCACGAATGGCTACAAAAATATTTCATATCCCAAGCTTATCAACAAGCTACAGTAATGTTGCAGCTGATATGTTCTCACAAAGTCAACCTCACATGATGATGTGATACCAGTTTTCAAGCACAGTAAATATTCTCTTCCCAGAGCATGGGACCAAGGTGATGATGTACATGGTTTTAATAATACTTTTGCCTTTCAATGTTTGCCATTTCAAACCATAAGCTGGTTCAAATAATATTTACCTTGATTTACAATATGTTCTCATTTGTTTTATCAGTACAGCTTTGAAGCTTTTGTGCTTTTCTTTGCCATAGTCCACTTTGGACTATATTAAATATTTCAGGATTGCACTTTTAACCCACTTGAAATGTTCTCACTTGCTTGGTTTCAAAACATAACAAATGCCATAATCTGTTCATTGGGGACCATAACATCAATGCTATTTTTCATTGCTGTTGCTGGCCGCTATTGCTCACGTAAACATACTACTGCTGCACCCCCTGTAATCTCAGATGCACCCCAAGTCATTTTGTCCTGATGTAGGCCTACCTAAAAAGTGTATTGAAGTACAGTAACTGAGTGAATGTACTTAGTTACTTAAAGGTGGGGTAGGTAAGTTTGAGAAACCGGCTCGAGATACACTTTTTGTTATATTTCATGGAATGCTCTTAACATCCCGATAGCAATGAATATCTTAAGTGCTTTGACAAAAAATCCATAAAAAAATATCATCTGTGGAAGCCGTAGTACTGTAAAAAGCACGACCAATCATTTTAGCCGGCCCGGCTAAAATAACTGGATGGCCAACCTGCCTGTCAGCCTTCCATTTGTTCACACATTTATCTCGTGCCCTCATTGGTCATGTGCGCGTTCGTGTGTGTTGGAGGAGGGGCTCTGTAAGGAAGCGGCAGATTTTTTCCGGCTGTGTATTTTCAAATTCTAGCGATCTCGAGCCGGTTTCTCCAAAATTACCTACCCCACCTTTAACACCACTGATAATACTTTATCCGAGCGCAACTTTTATGAAGCACATTCAGAACATATGAAATGTAAAACATGTCAGACATGGGATTGACCTCCTCCTCTGTTCATTCACAGCCTTTGGGACTCCCTGTTTACATTCTGGCTGCTGTCAGTGCAGGGACCTGTGCTTTACTGCCAACGTGCCGTTTAGATCATGTGTCAGTGCAAAGCCATGCATTGACATTCACTTCTCGGCTACACTTTTGATCACATAGTCAATAGGAGCAACATAACTATCTGTCTAACAGCTTACAAAGGCTGGTAGAAAAGGTAGTCTACTCAGGATTTTGATCTGCTGAGAGTACCCTTGGCATAACAATGTTTTGATAGCATTCATCTATCACTTCAGGTATTTTCCATGAATTGTTTGTAATTTCCTGTGTGCAGCCATACAAAAACATTGCCTTATTGAAAAAGTCTGACATTTACAAAGTTATAATTTAAATCTCTTGTTTTTGATCAAATAACAAGAAAAGTACACATTTGAAGCAAAAATGTAGTGCCGCCAGGGTGGCCAATAACAAAGTATTAAGGTGTGATAAACCAGTCCTCAGCCGTATGGTGAAAAAACAGCAGGGTCATAGAAATGGTAGGGATACAAAGAGGCTATAATTTTCATGAAAAATATGTTTTAAATGGTCGTAGACTCAAAGGGATTCTTGTCTGTCTTTCTAGGATTCTCTCTGCAGTGTCATGGCATGTTGGGCTGCTGATGCCTTCAGGTTAACAGGGACAGACTTTGAGCACACACTCAGTCCTGCAGGCGAGTAAACTTCTACAAGTCCTCCTGTAACTCCAGATCTAAGTTCACCACCATCAGAGAGAATGGAGCCAGACCCGGACCACGCTAGGAAAGTGATCTCCTGGAATAGTCCACCTTCCTCTCTCTAGATGCTGCTAAGCCCTCTATGGATTCAGCAGCTACCTGTTCGCTCACTTACAAATGTTTGCTGAGATAGTTCTATTGAAGGAACATTGAAGACAAAAAGCCACCTGGGCTGAGGACTGTGAGCACTCTGTGTCTGTGGTCAGGGCTTCAGTCATGGGGAAGGAACAGGACCTGCTGCTGGCTGTGAAGACTGGAGATCTTTTGCTGGCACACAAACTTCTCTCCAAAGTCAAGTGCAGCAAAACAAGTAAGTACACAGCTTACTGTATGTATACAATAGCCGCGTTCACACCGGAGTACTTTTCCCCGTACTTTTCACGTTTAGTTCCGTTAGTACCCCTTATGTCGCGTTCACACCAAAAAGAGTACTTCAAGCCGGGAACTTTTACCCCCATTTTTAGTGCCTGCTGAGAGATGGTACTTTCCTGGGGGAAAAAAGTGCCCCAGTTCTGATTGGCTGGGCGAATTGCAAACCACACCCCATAAAAAATTGAAATCATTTTATTATCCTCGCATTAGCATTAGCATTCGCCCAGCACACAAACGCAGAGAGACTAACGTATGGCAACACAAAATAAAGCATGGGAGCGGTGGAGATGAGGAGGTGTCGGCGTTCTGGCGATTTACTCGGAAGGCTTCAGTCGAAGCTGCTGGGAGTCCCAGCAGCTTCTACTGAAGCCAGTCCCCAACTCCGGGGACTTCCGGCCGGTGACTCCGGGTGGCAGTATACGCCGTGAAGTGGTTTGCGGCCTGCCAGTAAACCCAAAGCAGAAGAAGACGAAGTGACGTCAGCGGCTCATTTGCGTAATCTTCCCTCAGGGAACTTATTCCGGTGTGAACGCGATCTGTACTAAGTGCCGGCACTAAGTACAGCAAAGTACTTGGTGTGAACGCGGCTAATAGCTTTTGTATTAGTTTATTTATATTTTGTATTAGCTCATAATCTGAATATGTAAAGTAATGAGTAACTAATTGTTTAATTAATGTAGTGGAGTCAAAAGTACAATATTGGTTTCCAAAATGTAGTGGAGTAGAAGTAGCATAACATCTAAATACCCCAAAATCATACTTAAGTACAGTACTTGAGTAAATGTACTTCACTACATTAACCTCGGGTCGTTTCCAATATGAAATAGAACTAAGTAAGAAGAGGCACAGGAGTGGGGGATGTCACTTCTTAACCAAGTGCAGATTGTTTGCGAACCATAAGTTCAGGTTCAGCTGTGGACAAGTGGAGTTAAACTGCGGCACAGCACTGGATATTCTCCTGAACACAGACCCCCGCAGCTCCTCGCTCCCTGGGATGTGGTGGGCTTTCTTCTGCTTTCAGATGTTCTTATCTGCATAGATTCCAAGTCAAGCAACAAGCAAGCTCTTTACAGAAACATTGTTGCACATGACGCGTCCTCCCTTATCCAGCCTGGGGGAAGTTAAGGCCATCATGCTGTGAAGTTGAAGTCTTTCTTTGTGGCGTTATCTGCTCTGAGCTTTCATCAGTATGGCTGCCTGCTCAGTGACAAACTCTGGGAACAAAGCTGTGCTGTCAGGAAAAAGCCTGCAACACACACACACACACACACACACACACATACACATACACATACACATACACATACACATACACATACACACACACACACAGAGCCACTGCTGCTTGGCAGAGAATATTAAAACAAATATTGTACGCTTTTGTACTGCTCTGTGCTACTGTTCATGAACAAACAATGGCTGCCAAGAGATGTTCTAGTGCGGTACTAAATGGAATAAATAAATGTAGAGAAAAATGTTTAAATATTTATACAAATAAATACAGGTTAGATTGTTCAATCCACAAATGGGAGAACAAATTCAGAAATATAATGGGAATTTGTTTGTATCTGTACAATCAAGCGGTGTGTTTATCAAAAAGACCACAGTTCACCTGCTTAGTTAGCTTTATTGAGCTAAATAAAGTTGGACCCTCATCCGGCAAACACGGCAGCTGACAGGACAGTCGTTGTAACACAAAATCAAAAGAATATTAAATGTACTGGACACAATTTGAAGCAAATCCTCTGCAGGTCAGGTGCTTTTTAAGCTGTGTTGGTGTCAAGCTGACATGCTAGACATTCCCAAACCTCCAGCCTAAGCCTTGGGCCGGGGTGCAGATGGAGGAAGGAGAACCTGAACATGGATTGAACTCTTTAACTGGAGGGAGTGGCAGGGGGACTTGGGGGTCATGTGGTGGACACCAGAGGTGGGACCAAGTCATTGTTTTGCAAGTCACAAGTAAGTCTCAAGTCTTTGCACTCAAGTCACAAGTAAGTCTCAAGTCTTTGCACTCAAGTCACAAGTAAGTCTCAAGTCTTTGCGCTCAAGTCACAAGTAAGTCTCAAGTCTTTGCACTCAAGTCACAAGTAAGTCTCAAGTCTTTGCGCTCAAGTCCGCGTCAAGTCTCAAGTCAGGATGGGCAAGTTCAAGTCCTAAACTTTTAAAAAACAAGTCTTAAACAAGTCATTATGTGCTTTTCACCAAATGTAATGACATTCATCAACAGAATAATACTTACTAATCAAACTGCTCTTTGTTAGTCACATTAATAATGTAATAATCAATTTTCTCTCTGCTGGTAAAGTAACGTGTTTTTTAAAAATATTTTAAGAGGGATATGTAAGGTAAGGCTACCGTGACGGTTTGATTCAGAAAGAGTTTAATTTATAAAATCCCTGATGTTAAGGTGACCAGAATGTTTATTTCCACTGTGTACAACATCTTAGGCACCGTTTACACGAGGAGAAAACTGCTTGTATCTGCATAGTTTCGCGTGCGTATAGCCCTATTATTTACACGAGGCCGATAGAAACTGACCCCACAAACGATAACGGGTCCCAAGGTGGATAGATTTGCAAACGAAACGCTCTGGGGGGTCAACCGAGTCCGTGTAATCACCTCTATACAAATATTTCCTGAAAAAATAGCGAAAAAAAAAAAAAAATAGCACCTCTCCTGCTCACTGCTGTAGCAACCATCAAAAATAGCTGTGTTAATTAAACGCACAAGGGGTTCTTGAATGAAATAATATTATAAAAGGCAAACCAGAATTGTTAACGCCCAATATACTCCTTAAACAAAATAAACAGAGTCAGATTTCATGCATTGATCCATTATATTGACAAAGGTGCATCTCACCCGGTGTTTGTAGAGAATATCTCTCTTTCTGAGCCGTCCTCTCGATGCAATATCCACAGAGACGTGCTTCTTGGTTTCTTTCAGTTAACTTCCCCGTTGCATTTATCCATATGCTGAGGAAATTACTATATCCCGCTGAATACCAGCAATCACCACACACACTGACTTCCTCCTGTCAGTAGCTACTGCTAGTGCTACTGCTACTGACCATGCTACAGATATTAGTGCAAAAATATACAGCTCCTCTACCACAACCATCAGCAACAACAGATTCGGTTTCTTTCAGTTTCTTTCAGTTTCAGTTTCAGTTTCAGGGCTTAAACAGAAGGGTAGCCATGGCAACATTGCTGCGGGGCTGCTCCAGGCTGCTCTTCTTCGCGGCTTTTGGTGTATTTTGGCGGAAGTTACAGCGCCACTTACAGTCCCAGCATATGTACTACAGCGTTTCCAGCGGCATCGTTTAAACAGACACGTTAAATGAAACAAATGCATGTGAACGGAAGACTTTTTTGAATACGCATACTGTGCATAAACGCAAACGGTCCCGTGTGAGCGGGGCCTTATAAGGGACCCACAATCTATCTTTATGCAAGGGATAATGTGCAGTGATTAACATTTTGAATGCAGGACTTTTTATTGTAACCGAGTATTCCTACACTCTGGTACTTTTACTCAAGTACAAGATCTGCACTTCTCCCACCTCTGGCAATAAATCCTGAGTGGTTACCAACAAAAAAAAGAAGGTTATTTTCATTTTACAAATCCTGCACTCAGCTTTGCTTTCTCCAATATCATTGAAATGCAGCCAGAAGCTGCTTCTGTTTTCTGTTTTCGCTCATTTCTTGACTTTTTCCGACGCGCTTGCATTTAAATCCGGCTCCCCGTCGCTCTGTGTATCTGGCCTGTACCACTACACCTGCTGTCTTTGGAGCGTCTGCCCCCCACCCTTCTTTCACATAATGGTATGATCCTAGTGTGTCCTTGCATATGATTGACCGCATGGTGGCTCAGCAAAATAAAGTCCCGCTCCTCCCTGCATGGTTGGATTCCCCCGCAAGAGTAGGAGCGGCTGAAGATTAGGCTCCCCCCGACGGGAGTCTGCTCTTCTAGCGGTAGCTCGCGATCGACGTGTTGGAGACCCCTGAATTAAAGTATCAAGTCACCTCAAGTCAGAAGGCTCAAGTCCAAGTCAAGTCCCGAGTCATTGGTGTTCAAGTCCAAGTCGAGTCGCAAGTGTTTTGCGATTTTGTCAAGTCGAGTCCAAAGTCATCAAATTGGTGACTCGAGTCTGACTCGAGTCCAAGTCATGTGACTCGAGTCCACACCTCTGGTGGACACACATAAGAACTGAGTATTGGTAGATTCTGGTGTGTGTGTGTGTGTGTGTGTGTGTGTGTGTGTGTGTGTGTGTGTGTGTGTGTGTGTGTGTGTGTGTGTGTGTGTGTGTGTGTGTGTGTGTGTGTGTGTGTGTGTGTGTGTGTGTGTGTGTGTGTGTGTGTGTGTGTGTGTGTGTGTGTGTGTGTGTGTGTGTGTGTGTGTGTGTGTGTGTGTGTGTGTGTGTGTGTGTGTGTGTGTGTGTGTGTGTGTGTGTGTGTGTGTGTTTTGTACTACAACACTGACACACTGAATGTTGGGTTACATAACTCACTTATTTTACGACTTACTGTAAGAATGTATTCTGCCCCAGGAAAGACAATGTTTTTCTAGTTTGTAACAGTGAGGAGGATACATATATTCCTTCGGTTTTTGTCCAATAACTCAGATTCATGGCAGTAAGCACATACAGATGCTGTAATGTCCCTTGGGCTAAAATATATATAAAATATATCTTTCTGTATCAAACTGTTTAATTTGTCAGATCAGAAAGACTTGTTTAGCCTTAGCAGATTTTCTCAGATTTATATTGTGGTAAATGAATTATTGGATTTTAGACAGTGGAGACATTTTTTATCTGAGATGTTATCTTGTCATACAATGTTTTGCTTTTAAATCCATTATCAGCAAATTACCTCTTTGTACCTCTTCAAATGTTTCTTCACTGAAAAAACTGAAACGTTGACTTTAACTAAATATATTATG